GTTCCTCAAAAAAAAAAAAATCTCTATTTATACACATCCTATTGTTTTTTTTTTTCTCTGAAGAATCCTGAATAATATTCCCTACTTTGAAATTGTGGTAGTTATTAAACTTGCTACTAAATACTGAAGTTTAATGCAAAATATACATATTTCATATAGTGTCTCAACATAATTAGTGCCTCTTATAGCCATGTTATTTTATTATTGTGCATATATAATATTATTCTTTGAAGTTGTCCATAGACTTTATCAGATTAAAAAAAAAAGTCCATGTCACAATAATCATTAATAACCTCTACTTTAAAGGCATCAGAAGACTTGAGGGGTCTAGACCCCAAAGAGAAAGAAGGAGCAGAAAAGTAAGCCTAACAACCTGAACCAACTTTTTTCATGCCTCATTTGCTAATTTTTAGACAGTTCAGAAAGAATATAAGAAACCAAGGAATACATAAATCGGCTGAAAAGCTGAGCATAGCTTCTATCATATGACACTAGAAAAACAAAAAAAAATATTTTTTCATTCAAAAGAGGAAGAGGAAGAGCTCTCAGTTAGAGACACTGGAGGGCTACATCTTAGGAAGGAGATGACGATGAAGCAGAGGCAGACTCTCATGCTTATAAAGATTTTTAACCCAATCCTCTGTCAGTTCAGACTTTGATTGAATTGTACTGATCTACCCTTACTTTAGCTGTGCCACAGTATATATACCTTATATACTTCCTGGGACAGAATGGTAGAAGGATGAATGGATGGATGGATGGGTGGATGGATGGATACAGAGATAATAGATAGATGATAGATAGATAGATAGATAGATAAGCTTTTTGTACAAAACGTCTGTTATTCAGTTAAAAATGATCAAGTTTCCATACATCGGGCCAAGAGAAAAAAAAAACAAAATAGAAACCCATAGGTGACATGTAATTTGAGATTAGTTATATAGAATTTAGGTAAACTATAATTAATATGTCCAAGAAGATAGATGATAAGGCGAAGTACTTCAGCATAGAAATTATAGAACTGAAAAATACAGTATTGTGAAATGAGAACTCAGTATATGGGTTTAATAGCATATTATATATGGAAGAAATGATCACTTAACTTCAAGATACATAAGTAGGAAATCTTAAGACTGATGCATAGGGATAAAAAAAAGGTTAAAAATACAGAAATGAAATTTTGAGATACATGAGAACTGATGAAAGCAATAGAAGTACAGATAAAATTAAATCTAGGGACACAATAATAAAACTTTTAAAAAGCAAAGACAAAGAAAAATATTTAAAATAGCAAAGAAAAAAACATGTCCTTCAAGAGAGTAATGATAAAAGTGACAGCTAACTTCCCAACAAAAATGATGGAAGTGAGGAAATAATAGAATACCTTGAAAGTGTTGAAAGAAAATAAAGCCAGGGTAAAATTCTTTACCTAATGAAAATATCCTTAAAAAGGTAAGAGAAAATAAGTATCTTCAGACAATAAGAGAAAAACACTGATATATTTTTCCTTGGCAGCCCCATAGTTGTTCTTCAAGCAGAAGAACATGCCATAGACAGAACAAAGAAAGGAAGAGGGTAATAAAGAAAAATGGAAATGGTAACTATGCTGTATATATAAAAGAACTTGGACTGTACAAAACAACAATAATGCTCTGTTTGGTTTAACTGTATTTAGAACTAAAATGCATTGAAATAATAATATAATAAAAGGGAACAGATAAGTGAAGTTAATGTATATGAAGATTGTAGCATCATCTGAGAAGCACTGTAAGTGTATTTATATTGGATTCTAATAAATTAAAGAAAATGTTATAATCTCTATGGTTATTGTATAGGGATAAAACATTTTTGAAGACACTGAGGAGGGCACCTGTTGGGATGAGCACTGGGTGTTGTATGGAAACCAACTTGACAATAAGTTATATTTAATATATTAAAACAAACAAACAAATAAATAAATAAAATTTCCTTGTAGCGGGGAAAAACATTTTTGAAGAACAAAATATCTAGCTAATTTTTAAAGCTAAGTAAAGAGAGAAAAATGAATATAGAACAGGTGAGAAAAATAGAAAACAAATAGATCATACATAGATATAAGCTTAACTCTATCAATGTCTACTTTGCATATAAACAAGCTACAATTGCAAGTAAAAGGTCATGCAGAATTAAAAACAAACAGAACAAAATATATCCTCTTCACAAACACATAACTCAGCAAGCTTAAAAGTAAAACTGATACAACACAAAACTACAAAAGTAATCTAATAACACTCTATTAATATTTGTCAAACTTAGGTTATAAAGCAAAAGTATTACTAGAGTTAAGGACAGATATTTCATGATGATATACATGTACATACACAATGAAGAATAAATATAAAAATTTGTACACATAAAATGACATGGATATAGGAATCCTTTTCCAATAAAATTTCCCAATAAAAAAAGAGAAAAAGAAAAATCCAAATAATATTGGGAAATTTTAGCACACTTCACTTGAACACTGATCATATTAATGAAAAAAATTTTTGAATGTGAAGAAATAGATATGTTCATGGTTTGAAAAACTGAACATTTAAAACAAAAAGTAAATTTTCTCAAATTGACCAATGGATTCATTACAATTCCAGTAAAAATTCTGGCAGATTTTTTTTTTAATTTTTTTTTCAACGTTTATTTATTTTTGGGACAGAGAGAGACAGAGCATGAACGGGGGAGGGGCAGAGAGAGAAGGAGACACAGAATCGGAAACAGGCTCCAGGCTCTGAGCCATCAGCCCAGAGCCCGACGCGGGGCTCGAACTCACGGACCGCGAGATCGTGACCTGGCTGAAGTCGGACGCTTAACCGACTGCGCCACCCAGGCGCCCCTGGCAGATTTTTTTAAAGTGTATATGTGTATGTTAGTGGTGGAAGAGGGGCTGTGTCAACACACTGATTTTAAAATTTATATAGGGGCTCAAAAGAGCAAAGGTGAGCTTAAAGAAGAACAAAATTGGAGGCAAGTTTGAAGAAGATAAACATACATACCAAATACCAAAATGTATTCTAAAACAGTAGTAATTAACAAAATGTGGTAAGAACAGACAAATGGTCTGATGGAACAGAAGAAAATCCAAAGATTTGCTGCCTGAAACTGTCACTTGATTTTTTAAAATGTCACAATGTAGTGTAGTTGAGATAGAATAATCTTTTCAATAAACAATAGTGGATCAATAAGATCTGCACATGGAAACAAACGACTTAACCCATACTTCCTACTGTACAAAAAAAAAATCAATCCCATATGGATTGTGAAGCTAAAAGTTAGAAAGAAAACAAACAAAAAAATTTTTTTTTGGAAATTTCTTCATGACCTTGAGATAGGGAAGGACATTAAAGCACTAAGTATGAGGAACAACAATGACAACAAAAAGGTTTAAATTTAACGGTATTTAAATTAAGACCTGTTCTTTCAACAAAAGATGCCATAAAGAAATAAAAAATATCCACGAAGCATAAATATTTACATCTTTAACAAAGTATTCATGTATATCCATCCCCTCCTCCCAGTCCTTTAAAACAACATGAGAAATGTAGACATCTCAATTGACTATTGGGCAAAAGTCTTGAACTTCACAAAAAAGGATATTTATACTGACAAGAAAAATGTGAGAGGGTACTAAATAACGTACTTAAAAGTTCATACGCATACACACAAATTCGGAACAGTCTCAACAACAGTAATCATAAAGGATAAGCAAATTAAAATTGCAGTAAGATATACAAATACCCACCAAATAGCTAAAATTAAAAAGACAGATAATATGAGGTATCGACAGTAATACGGAGCAACTGAACTGTCAGATAATTGCTACTGGGAGCATAAATGGGTATTTCTTTCCTGAGTATAGACATAACAGAAATATATCACCAATAAGCATGTACAAGAATACTCATATATTAATAATCATAATAACAAATGTATAATGGATAAATAAGCTATACAGCAATGAGAGTGTACAAACATTCACAAACATGGGTTAATCTTACAATTACAAAGTTGAGTTAAAGAAGCCAGACACAAAAGAATGCATACAATATGATTCCATTGATATAAAGTTCTAAGAAAGCCAGAGTTAATATATGGTATTTGAAGTCAGAATACAGGTTATATTTGGGGATGGGGAGAGTAGCGATGTATTAGTGGTAGAGAAGGAGCATGGTCAGGGTAGTGGTTAACCTGGGTATGTTCATTTTGTAACAACTCCTACAGCTGTACATGTTTCATCTACTTATGTATAAGCCTGTTATGCTTAAAAGGTCACACACATACACACAAAATTTGAACAGCCTACCCACAGTAAATATTCAAGAAATGTTATCATTACTGGAGGTAAGCATTTGAGGCACTAATTCCCTACTCTCAAGCCTGTGAAAATCAACAGTGATGGCCTGAGCCACAGTGAGCGCAGAAAGACACAAGAGGCAATATGCAAGTTCCCAATAGAAAAAGATGGCAAATGAGTAACAGACTAGAAATAGAGTGTGTCTGGAGTCATGGAGACTGTTTCATTCCTCAACTCCATGTTTGTTGAGCTGCAACACCCTTAATTCCATCTCAGTGGAGCGGAATATGTTGCTATGTTCTGACAGAGCATTCTGGAAACTTAGACATTTTGCCACATTGCCCTTTTCAGTTCCCTCCTTTATCATGGAGGAGAAAAAAAAAAAAAACAAAACAAACAAAAATACACCTTTTATGTATTTTCTGAGATTTGGGGGTACTTTTGAATATCAAAACTGTACAATTTTCGTGTGGGGATATCTATAGCTGGAAGGTCAACAGTACTTAAAGATATCACAATAATGTGTGTCTTGAAAAAGATGGAGGTAATCCCCACTTTGCCTTGCTCCACGGTTTTCCATGGAGGGGATATACAGGTGAATGGAGCAGATAGAGGATATAGGATAGTCTGGTTAGCTTGGGGTTTAGAAGCCTGTAATGTAATAATAGAGGTTTCCACAAGAGGGGATATACAGGTGAATGGAGCAGATAGAGGATATAGGATAGTCTGGTTAGCTTGGGGTTTAGAAGCCTGTAATGTAATAATAGAGGGAGTCAGGGTGAAACCAACACTTCAGCAGCCTTTGATGCTCATTGATGATCATTCATTCTGCATCCATTTAAGGGATACCACTCCATGACTACATATGGCCAGGTAGGCAAGGAGACCTCCTCTTCCCCTATCCCTCCTTCCTTTCTCCAACATTTAAGGAAGAAGCTCTTAGAAAAATCATTTCTGCAACAACCCATTAATAATGCTTTGTCCCCAAGTTCAAATTGTTTTTCCAACTGATGAGAATCCTATCAGGGATGATGCTTCAGCAACTGTCTAATATTTTGCTCTCTATTAAGAAAGAATTATATTGAGGGGCACCTGGGTGGCTCAGTCAGCTAAGTGTCCGACTTTCGCTCAGGTCATGATCTCATGGTTTGTGGATTCGGGCCCTGTGTCAGGCTCTGTGTTGACCATTTGGATCCTGGAGCCTGCTCTGGATTCTATGTCTCCCTCTTTCTCTGACCTTCCCCTGCTTGTCTCTGTCTTTCTCAAAAATAAATAAACATTAAAAAAATTTTTAAAGAAAAAATTATATTGATAAATCTGAGGTCTACTACACTTTCTCTCCATTTAGAGGTTGCTGTGTGATATTTGTCTGCTACGTTTAGGACCATATTACATTTATTCAGTAGCTATATCTTATAGTCTTCTGAATTAGGCATCATTGGGCATTTAACTCTGGACATGAAAAACGATCTTGAATCAGCTATTGATGAATTCTTTCAATGCGGTCACTCTTTCTCTCATTTTTTTTCACTTTGTCTCTTTTTTAATGTTAATTTTTCTAAGAAGAAAAATCTTTCCAAGCTGTATCTCTACATTACAGAGGACACATATGCCATCTGGATATTGTCCCTCTACTCCCCCTCTCTCCTTAATCTGCTATTTCCCAAATTCTGTTTTCCTCTCCTTATACTGATTTTGCATTACAAAAACCTAGCAAACCATCTGGCAAGAGCATAATCTTCTTTGGAAAGAGGGCAACAAACTAAGAGTGCAAAGGCCAGAACTCTCTTTAGCATATAAAGAAAGAAGACATTTTTGGAACTCTAATACATTAATAATTTTTGTTCAGTGACTCTTTCCTTCTCTTAAGGATATCTGGTCCCTGAAAAGAGATGAACAGTATTTAAATATGCTACCACACTCGATATTTAGGAATTATTCTCTTGAAAAACTTCCCTTTATCTTAAGGGAGGATAAAGCAATCTTTGCTTCTCCTAGAAGAGAAGGTCTAGCATTTTCCCATAAACACTAAATTCCTAAAAAAAGAAAATTCTCCCTGTTTTCTGCTAATGTTGGTTAGTAGAGCAGTGGTTGTTGGGGGTAGGAGTTTGCAGTAGTTTGAAGCTGACCTCTCCTAAGCCCTCAGAGCAATAGTTTGCCTAATTCATGGTAATTCCTTGAACTTAGAATTAGAGTAGTTGAAGTCTTTTTTCTGTTTAGTGTGTTGGCTGTGATTATAGGACAAGAAAAACTTTATTTAAAGCCCTGTTAGATTATAGGACAAGAAAAACTTTATTTAAAGCCCTGTTAGAATGAATGAGTGGTTCTAGTGGGAAGACATCTAGTGGGAAGAAAGAGGTCAGGGCTATCGCTAAACATTTTATAATGCACAAGACAGACCACATAGAGTTTTTCAGCCCAAATACCATTATTTGAGATTGAAAAACTCTGGGCTAGAACATACCTCTATATTTACATCTACAGTGAAATTCAAAGTTAACAACAGATACTTCATGAGAATCTGGTAGTCCTATAAATTCCCTATCTATTGGCCAACATGATAATTCCTAAGACACAATTAGCATTTTTATATGGCTCTATAAGGGTGGCATGTTTATTGCTCCAAAATTTCTAGTAGCGGATTCCATTGACTTCCTCCAGATGTAATCACTGACTTCCAACGTCATAATTTATATCTCCAAACGCAGCCCATTTTAGTTCAATAAAAATGAATTGCTAAAATTCCACTCATCTCTCTTCAATGAGATTGACTTCCCCAATTTTGACAAGTCACCAGAATTTGATGATAATCTCAGCAATCAGATGGAAAATCTGAAAGGAGAATAATCCAATAACTGGATCCCATTCACACTCTTCAGAGGTGCCATCAAACCAGCTTAGTTTATTGTTTCACTAGAAACAAGTAACTGCAAAACTATGTAACTACCAGGCCAGGTGGTAAAGCAACCTAGAGGTCAAACAAGCAAATTGACATAACACTTTAAAATATGCTATTTTGTCAGGGTGAATGACAGTTCTGTTATGTGCATAAAATCACAGATTTATCTGAATGCTAAGTTACTTGTCAAGGACTCATTTTACCATTCTTTTTTTTTTCTCTGCCTTGTGTCATGCAAGATTCCTTGAAGCAACTAAAAAAACAGCCATAATCCATTTGATTTTCTGCCTTCCCATGAGAAAAATTTTGACAGATGATAAATAGCAACTGCTGACAATCATCAATGCGAAGCTATCATGCTTTTACATTAAATACAAAAACAGAGTTGTAAAGTCACAAGGGATAGGACTTTTGACACATAAGAGACAAATATATAATCCTCAGAACTAAATCACTGTTGGGATCTAAGCAAGTGCAACAAAGCACAGCTGCTTTTAGAATCTCACAAAGTCAAACTAAAGCTAACTTTGATATCTGGAACGTAACGCATGTTCCAACCCATGTGCCATGCTCTTATCCAGAAGCTTGAGTTAAACTTGCAAACATCACCGAATGTGTTGTAGAAAGGAAACAGCCATTTTATCATACTGTCTCTTTTAATTAAGGCCAAAAAGGAGACTAGAAAACAAATAAAAATACCATAAAACCTAGTTAATTAGAATAGAAGGGCAATTCTGAGCAAAAGGGGTTTGAATATCAGATGTCTGTATCTCATTAAACCTATACGACAGCTCTGCATGTATGAACCTTCAAAGAAAAGCAATAAATTGTCCAGATTACTTGTCAATATGAGGAAGTCATCTGCAAAGGTTACATCCTTTATAGTCTAAGCTGCTCCCTCTTCTGCTGTTGACAAGTAATCAGAGTAGTTCACGGATCATTCTTTCACTTATGGCTTACTTGTGGCTATTTAGTGACATTCACTTCAAGTTATCTAACCAATTTAGCAACCTAAAGTACCCCTGGGACCCAATTTCCACCTCAAATTATATATATTTTTTTATTTTGGAGTAAATGACTAATTTTAATGGGGAAATCTTATCTAATAGGCTAGGGAATAGCACTTATTTCAAATTTCATGCTATTCTAAATGATCCTGGTAACAAATTAAAAAGGTTTTATAGCACACTGTTTATTTACCTAATTAGTAATACACTGGCCTTTTGGCTTTTATCTAAGCTTGTTTTTCTCTATTTGGCCTAATTTCCCATGGGAGAATAAAGGTGAGATAGAGAGGGTTAGAGAGATCATTCTTTATTCTCCAATCTCCTTCCTTTCTTCCTCCTTCTACTTACACACACACACACACACACACACAGATTTGTAGCTCTATATAGGTTACAATGCTTAGCAGAGTCTCCAACACTGAAAAAGTGTGAATGGAGCCACATTTTCAGAAAACGCTTCCGTGGGTTTTTTTTTTAACATTTTCTATATCTATGAGATTTTTCTACATTCGTTCTACATATCCATATTTCTAATTGTGTATTTTGGTAAACTAATCATAGCCTCCAAAATCAACCATTTATAAAGGGATAGGTTATGCTTATTAAGAGCACACTTAAGGGGCGCCTGGGTGGCGCAGTCGGTTAAGCGTCCGACTTCAGCCAGGTCGCGATCTCACGGTCCGGGAGTTCGAGTCCCGCGTCGGGCTCTGGGCTGATGGCTCGGAGCCTGGAGCCTGTTTCCGATTCTGTGTCTCCCTCTCTCTCTGCTCCTCCCCCGTTCATGCTCTGTCTCTCTCTGTCCCAAAAATAAATAAACGTTGAAAAAAAATTAAAAAAAAAAAGAGCACACTTAAATGAAAGGAGCACCTATATGAAAGTTGGCAGAAGTGATAATGGTGATGAGAACAAAGATCCCATTATGCATTTTACATATATGGTTGTATTACATCTTTATAATAAAACTATTGGGGAGAAAATATTACTAAAATTTATAGACTTTAAGTAAGTTATTCAATTTTACATATTTAGAAATTATCAAAGCTAAACTTGAATTTTTTAAATATTTTCTTAGTGTTTATACACTTTTGAAAGAGAGAGAGTGTGTGTGAGCAGGAGAGGGGCAAAGAGAGAGAGAGGGAGACACAGAATCTGAAGCAAGCTCCTCTGAGCTGTCAGCACAGAGCCTGATGCAGGGCTTGAACCCACAAATTGTGAGATCATGAGCTGAGCCGAAGTCAGACACTTAACCCACTGAGCCGCCCAGGCGCCCCTTAATTCTTTTTTTCTTTCTTTCTTTTCTTTTTTTTTTTTCTTTTGCCTAACTTTTGGTCATTGATTCCATTCAGTGCCTCTCATATAAATGCTTAAGTTTACTTTCATGTCTTTCTTTTTCTTTTTTTTTTTAATGTTTCTTTTTGTGAGAGAGAGAGAGAGAACACACACAAGCAGGAAGGGCAGAGAGAGAGGGACAGAGGATCAAAAGCAAACCTGCGCTGGCAGCAGACAGCCTGACAAAGGGCTTGAGCTCACTCACCTCAAGATCATAACCTGAACCAAAGTCAGATGCTTAACCAACCAACTGAGCCACCCAGGTGCCCCTATTTTTCTTATTTGTAAAAAAAGTTTTACGTACCTTTCTTCAAAAGAATATAAACTTTCAAAGTTTATAATGTTATGTAACACTAATGAAGAATGATGGCTTCAATAATACTGAAGTTTTAAATTTTCTTTTTCTTTATTTTATCTTTTTACTAAATAATACTTATTGATTATTACATTTACAAGCTTAGTCTTTGATGAAGATATACATGATAAATAATTTTTTTTTGTTTTTTCACACTAGCTAATTATAAGTTTGAGAAATTATTCTCTCAAACTTTGGAATCTGAGATGGTGAAAACAATTAAGTAGAATTTCAGTATGTCTTATCAATAAGTGGGATAAAAACATTGAGAAGTATGAACCTCTATGGTTATTTCACGTGAATGGAAATGCCTGGGATTAATATTACCTTGAAGTAGATGATAGGATCCTAAGGAAGTTAAAGACATTGAAAGTCTAGATAACACACATTTACAAAGGAAGTACTTATTTGTATTCAAATGTAAATAGAAAAACATACATTGGCTTTCATATTAAACTATTAACTTTTAAGTAAAATGAAACATATGGTTTGTATAATGTCAGCAGAAGTAATATCCAATATTGATTATAGGTTTTTTTCTCATTAAAGTTGAATAGATGCTGTAACTAATAAAGTTGCGTACTTTTTGGCCAAAAATACTCAGAAATAGAGTAGATGAATGAATCCATCCTAGAATACATTTTTGGATCATTTACTTACCAAGTGCATCATGTAGTAGAGGAGCAGTGTTTTCTTCTTGCTGCAGATCAAACAGAAGACCCTTAAGTGAAAGATATCAGTATTGTCAAGAGTTAGTTTTTTATCCTCATCTGACCTTCATTGACTGTACTTGAGAAGGGCTATCAGAGTGAAGACTTTGTTTTCAAAGTACCGTCTGTCATAACACCTCTTTGCCAGCCTGATCTTTATAAACTAACTTATATAAAGGCAGGAATACTATGATACCTGGATGACTGTCTGAGAGATAGAAGCATGAATAACTCTAGACCATGTCAGCCTCCAGGGAAATAAAGTATCTTAGCCCATTTAGGCTGCTATAATGAAAATACCTTAGACTGGGTGGCTTAAACGACAAACAGTTCTAGAGGCTGGGCAGTCTACAACCAAGACAGCAGCCGATTCGGTGTCTGCTGAATGCTTGCATCCTGGTTGTTAGACAGTTGTCTTTTTGCTGTACCCTCACAAGGCAGAAAAGTAAAGGAGCTCTCTAGGGTCTCTTTTATAAGAGCACTAGCCTCACTCATGACGGTTCCACCCTCCCAAAAACCCCACCTCCAAATACCATCACAAAATATGAATTGGGGGAGACAAGTACTCAATCTGCAGCATATGGTAAGGTACTTAACTTCTCCTTTCACAATCTCACTCTTAAGAGGGAACATCTAATAAGAAATCTAAAATCAGAAAATAAAACTTGTGTCATTGGGCCATATCAAGTTTTCTTATCACCTCTTACCCTAGCTCAGAATTAGGACAAAGGCTCTTTCCTCCTCTTGCATTTCAGTGGGGGTGGGCTTCATTTCCTCATAGGGAAAACATCTTAATATCCTATGGTTATATTAAGGGCTTTTGCCATTTTAATTTTATTTGTCTAACAGAATGATATCTAAAATTATAGGAGACAGATCAAATTACGGCAATTTATCACCCAGTTATAGAAAATTTAAAAGACAATAATCCTATCTAGCCAAACTACAATGCAAGATAAATGATGTCCCAGTACTAGAATATTTCACTAGATTTTATGTTCTTGCAACTTAGGAAAAGTGAACTTGAGATAATCAATGGTCCCTTAGTAGAGATCACAACACCTGTTATATCCTATTCTTTCTTTAAGCATATTCCCTGGTGGCTATGAGAGGGGGGAAATGGGACCAGTTAATTTGACTAGTTCTGTGTACTCTTAAGCATAAGGTCAAAGGTTGAGTCCTAAACAGACTGGTTAACTTCAAACGAAGAAGACATCTGTTCTTCAGTCACATATTATGCCTCCAATAATCCTGGCCAGCTGTCTCAGAAACATTTCAATCACAATAGGGATCAGTTGAGACTGTATAGATAGTTTATTGGTTCAGAGCAAACTTATCACCACTGTAGGTAAAAGAGATCAAGTCAACACTCTACTTACCGATGATCTGTTAGCAATTTTAATGCAGAAAAATCCTCACTGATTTTAAAACATTAAAATTGGTTTTGTTTACACAATGTCCCCCAAAAGCATCTATTCAATGAATGAAAATCAGCTACAATATTTAACACTGTGTGTGGGACAAACAGTATTCCGGTGTTTTGTATTTTCCAGCTGTCATAATGACAAAGCCTTCCTCTTTTGTCTTACGGCATTTGTTTTCAGTTGCATTCAACATTTGGATCGAATTGGCATTTGAAAAACCTAGGAAATGTTTATTTATTCCTTTGCCAAGGAAAAAGGCAGGTCATTCACTTGGTGACAGATGGACAACAAAAGAATCAGAGTTCAGTGACTCACCCAGAGAGACAGTCTATCGGCAAAAGCATGACCTGGGTCTCTAAAACACAAAATTTTTATTGTGCCTCAAACTCATTGTAAACCATTCGTTATTTAAGCACATTTTGAACTTGGGATATTAAATTATCCCTGAAGTTTCATTGTTTTCAGAGAGATTCTGAAGAGATTCTGACAGCTAATCACAGTCAGAAGAGAAAGACATTATAAACCTAGAGTTATTGTTAATACATCTAGTCCTTGTTGTCTCCCATAGTGTTATCTGTGGTTGTCTTTCCAAAAGTATTGAACAAATGATACCAAACAAATCACAAAGGGTTTAAAATTTGTTTTGCATTCTCATCAGACAGTCTTAAGCTACGTAAACCAAAGCTGAGTTCAAATCTTATTCTCTTCCTCTAAGGGGACCAAAAAGACAGGCAAAACTCCTAACTTCATTCTGAAGTTAATTCATTAACTTCATTCTAAAGTTAGAAACTGTGTGTGTGTGTGTGTGTGTGTGTGTGTGTGTGTGTGTGTGTGAGAGAGAGAGAGACAGACAGACAGACAGAGACAGAGAGAGGGATAGAGAGAAAGAGAAAAGGTAAGTACTATAGCCCTGTGCTGCAGAAAATTCTAAGAATTTGTGTTGACTCTCCTAGAAACAAGGGAAAATTTAATCTAGATTATGGAGGCTACCTAGTAAATCGATTAGCAATTAAAAAAAAAAGCTACATTATTTTCAACTCACACACCCAGTATCAGGAACATACCTAAATGTTAGTATTTTTGGATCTGATTTCTGGTTCTCTTTAAATATAAAGTCAACCCCCTTGATCATTCTTGTTGAGTGTGATAGCATTCTTCTTATCTGCTACCAATATATTTTTAAGCACTAGAAATTTATTAGACTGTTCTACAATTTTTGTCCATAGATCATTTAACTCATATTTGGGTGGTTTGTTAAATGCAACCATTTTCAAATAAATCTGGCTAAGTGCTTATATGGCCTTAACTGCACCAGGTAATTCTAATGGCTGTTAGCACTACCTGCTTTTTATGGCTTTCTGGGCAAAAAGACAAAGAAGGGCATTCAAATTTCAAATGGCAAAGCATTTAAAAAAAAAAAAAGCATTTCCTCATGTTCATGAAATACCATCTTTTGACATAAATGTTTCGGTCAGGCTGTGGAACAGGTTAAGAGGGTGTCTGGAGAAAGGAGAAATATAATGTAAGCTCAATATTTAGTTACTTTTTGCAGTAATATGACTCTGAATTTCCTCATAAATACCAGATCTTTGAGGAGGGCAACTAAAATGTCAGCCTCAACAAAAAGAACAATTATTAATATAGAAATTACCAACAATGTATATTTTAGAATAAAAATTTAAGCCTTATAATTTAAAGATGTTCATGTATTTATTAATTTAGTAAACAAACATTTATTTGGCATTGAGGTTTAAAAAGATTAGTCCTTGGGGCGCCTGGGTGGCGTAGTCGGTTAAGCGTCCGACTTCAGCCAGGTCACGATCTCGCGGTCCGTGGGTTCGAGCCCCGCGTCGGGCACTGGGCTGATGGCTCAGAGCCTGGAGCCTGTTTCCGATTCTGTGTCTCCCTCTCTCTCTGTCCCTCCCCCGTTCATGCTCTGTCTCTCTCTGTCCCAAAAATAAATAAAAAACGTTGAAAAAAAAATTTTAAAAAATAAAAAATAAAAAAATAAAAAGATTAGTCCTATACCAGAAGGGCAATGGATGAGAGAAAAGGCTGCCTCTGTCCCCTTGTGTTAAGAGAAACCTGAGATTAATCCTCATTTTAAAGCCAAATATTCTCCCTTATGCATGGAATTCATTCTACTCTTTCACTAACCCAATGAGGACTGACCCCATCCCTTTCCACATATACACCCTTCAGTCTACATACTACTTTTGATGGAAGTTTTTACCCTTCTGATTTGCCCTTGGGGCTTCTTTTAATCGAAACATTGTAAGACATGGGAGCCATGTGATGAAATTTACTCCTGCTTCCATATATCCCCTATCGACAATCTTGTAATGAAGGGTGGCATGGCTCTCCAATTCATTTTAGACCAGATTATGTTTCCAGTGAGGGCAGGCACTACTGCACCTCCTTCATCATTGTGTTCCAGAGCCTGGAATCCTGTAGGTGCTAAATGAATATTTGTTAAAGAAATAAATGAATGAACTCTTAAAACCAATGAAGTGACAGGACACACTTATGCCAAGATCAAACAGTTTATCTGATTTTGTATGGATTGTTATCCTGCTCATCCTCTTCCAACCTTGCCTTTCTCTTTTCCCAAAGCACTTGTTCAAGGCTGTTTAGAACCCTTCTCATGATTTGACTTATGTAACTGTTATTTATGAGTCTATTTTCCTGATTAGGCTGTGATTCCTTGAGGGCAATGAACACAGCTTCCTTCCTCTATTTATACAGCTGGTACCTAGGAGAATGCCTCTCGTGGGGTAATGCTCAATAAATATTAGAAGGAATTGTTCTGACTGGTGTATACATGTATATTACAGTTGGCTGAATTGAGGCCCTTGTTTATAAGGAACACAAGAATACCTAGGTATAATGCTAGGCATTTTCCACACATTATTTCATTAAACATGAAAACAACTCTCTTAAGTAGGTCTCATTAAACTTGGTGCAGCTTTGGAAACTCAGATTCAGAGAGGTAAAGCAATTTGACTCAGGTTGAATTAGCAGTGGCAGAATGCGAATTCAAATACATCTTCCCATCTCCAATGTCAATGCCCCTTCTACTATATTATACTTTCTCTGCATTTTCCCTCCAGATGCTTAGGACAGAACTAGACTAAAATTTTATTCTTTTAATATATACACTATATCTTGTGTATTCAATTTACTGTTACCAATATTTCGTTTATAAAGTTTTACCAAGAGCTAAATTTATCATTGAACCAATTTTTGATGTCACTAGTATTGACACTATCTTCCTTAGCAAGTTGTATGTTTTTGTTGTTGTTGTTGTTGTTTTGTCTGATTGACTCTTTCAATCAGAAAGTGTTTCCTAATTTATATTTCTTCCTTTTCAATTTCAGGTCATTATCAATCCAGCCTTTCCTTGCTGTTACCAATAAACCTCTTGGGGTTCACCCCTTAGTCATCTTTTTCAAGGCCACATTTGCTAAGATGGATAATTATTCCTCATGAATAATGCTCTGTCCTTTAAAATTTTAAGTTTGTTTGGTTGCGTTCCATCCTACCTCTGTAATTTCAGTAATGTTCATTCAAGAGAATAATATAGTGAT